CCTTCAATTGACATGGGATTTCACTTATTCGCTCGTGTTAACATCTTCTGTAAATGCCAAATATGCACCACTGATTGGTCCACAAGAAATAAATGATTTTAAACTAATTAATGACGTTTAAGAGAATGAAATAAAAAAAGTCGTGCATCTAGCATTCACAGAAAATATTAATAGTTGAAAACAGACTAAAAATCATTTGGGGAATAGAAAGGCAACGACCATTAATTTTTAAGAGGGGGGATAGTTTTATCCCGTTTCACATTTGCTTCATAACACGGGTTTAATTCCTATATGGATATATATATATATATGATGTTTTGTCAATACAAGAATGGAATTCTTTGTCCAGCCGTGAGTCCATGTCAACCTATTAATGAACTACTTGAAATCATTCTTTACAAACAAATGCATCTTTTAAAAATATTAAAGACGAAATGAACACTTTGAGTGATCGGATTGTTTTGTTTTTCATTCGTGGTATTATATTCAGTCTCAATTGATGGATCAAACAAAACTTAAACATTCGAGTATTATTTTTATCGAATTTGCTATCACATATGCTATGTTATATGAATCAGTTATTACTTTGTAACATGTCACGTGTCCTAGGATTTCATATACAGATGGAAATGTTTCTCTAGATCAAATATCAAATTTCGACACATGGCAAATCGTCTTCAATTTTGGGGATACTCAATATGGTAACTTGTACAGGCAAAAATACGTTTCATATTTCTTTTTCGGTAATGGTAATATATTTTGGTCATATTATTATCGTCCCAAAATGTCCTGAGTAGTTAGGATGCATAAGAACCTTGATTACTCAGCAGCTCTATTTCATGTCGGTCTATGCCCACCAAGATCTACTCTCATGCGGTACCACGTGGAAAATCAAGTAAGGCTATGCAGCTCGGGAACTGCTTGATAAAGTACAAGTAGGCATGTGTATGCACATACCCTATGTTGACGTATTTCTGTCAAAGATATGCGGCTAGCGCAGACACAGTATTTTAGAGGCTAATTATGCTTAATTGTCTGAGAACACGCTGTCATCTAATGTACTATAATTTGTTCATACTGTGTGTTTAATGTGTCTACTGCGGGTGGGATGTAACAGAAAAACAAAGGATATGGGGTATACATCCATGACACAAAATCAGTACATGCACAGCAAAAAACACACAACAATTGAACGGCCACGATAACAGACTTTGTAAATGCACCAATGTAATAAGGTTAAACCAGTATTACGTGCGCGCACGTCTCCCTGTTTGTCTATCTAGACGATATACCGTAACAGTAAAACACACACTAAACACAGAAGGGCGACCTTTAACTTGAACAAGGAAATAAAAGACGGTAAATACTTTGGGTCAAATTGTGTTCGCTACTACAAGAAGCAAGTTTATTAAGAAGAAAAATAACAAGAAACGGCATGTCTAACTGGTTTAATTGATTAAATTTTATAGAATTTGGTAGTTTTTGAGAGGTTAGTAACTTAAAATCGTCAGAAGATCGAAAGAAACTGAAATAATCAATGTATCACTCATGTAGCCCATGCCGTGCTGTTGGAAGATGTAAGAATTTTCCCGTGTTGAAATATATAATGTTTCAATATTTTAGTCTTTTTTACGATATTGTAATATGAAACAGGGTAAGAGATGCCGTTTAATATTAATTTTGCACCCGAAACAATATATTTACAAATGGAACGATGATAGATTGTCAATTCTTTTTGAAAGTATGAAAAAAAGTCTATGGTTTCTATAAAATAACAGTAGCTTTTGTGTTAATGAAAGGTTAATTTGCTCATTAAAGTCAGCTATAAAACGAAATATCTAGTAAACTGTTCAAGTTGTACACGTCATTGAATGATACTAGAGGAACATCGCCAATCTAATAAAGAAAAGTATGTAATGGAAAAGTTGCTATTGTATCTTTCGTCGAATATGTAAGTTTGAGTATTGCTATATTATACAGCTATGTCTAGAATGGACAACACTGACAATTTTCATTATATTCATTTAGTCTGATGTTCTTTTGAATAAATTTGTACATGTTTAATAGTACACCATCAACAGTAACGACCCAGAAGAAGTAAAACGATGTAGGGGTTACAGTAATGAAAACCAGCTGTTGGTTTACGTATCAAAGTTCATATGAATAGTACAAAGCAATCGTACATCATACGTAATGCTTTAATGAAGTAGTTATCATTAAATTCATGTATCAATTCATTTTAATATGAATATGAAATATTGCATACAGAATTTTTGTGCTTTTTTTCACATTTGAGTAATTGATGAAAACAGTTGCATTTGCTAACTGCATTAATTGCACAAAACCTGTTTTTGTCGACGAAAATGAAAAAGAGTTTGTCTGAAAGAAATAATCGTAGTTTAATATTCTCCGTTTGGTCCCTACTGAGTAAACATAATAAATTTTCTTTCAGAACATCATTCTCTTTGATCCTCAGCAGGGAAGTTTACTGAATTATGAAGACATTAACATGATAATGTCAATAATTTCATCAGAAATTCGTATAACGTCTATTGAAAATATGTCCCATGATGGTCAAGACAAAATTAGAAAAAAACAATCATCGAATGAAAATTTTACTAGAAGAGTGATTTAGATACAATGTATTTTTCAGATTTCTCTCAATTGACGAAACAGTAAATGCTTTCTATAATGCTAAATAAATAAATCTCTTTGATTTGGCTATTTTTTTCTACTTTTATAACCAGGGAATAAAAACCTCAAGAATATGTTCATAGTTATTCCAGAGAAATGACAGGAGATACATTTGTGTGTTATATGTAATTCAATTTCATTCTTTTGAGTATTGTCGCTTGTATCAAATTAGTAAATATTTAAGATTGATTACATGGTTGTTGCTTCTCTTTTGTGGTTTATTTTACATTAGAACCTTGCGGTGACGTGATACATGTATAAAATATTATCTACAAATTTGAGTTTTTTTTTGGGTGTAGAGAATGAAAGAATTCTAAAGCGACCGTGCAAATAGGAAAACAAAATAATAGAGGCAATATCCATTGACTCTATTTTCTCAATTATAGGAATGCATTTATAGTATATCATATAATTTCAAATAGTATTAAAGCCTACTGGAATTCAAATATTAGATATGAATGTAAATCTTAAAGCATTTAGTTTTTTTCAACATATGGCCTAGATAGGGTAAGGTTTATGCGCGCGTAAAACTGATCAACTCCATCAGATTGTGTACCTTTAATAACTCAGGCTATCTCAGGACCATGTGTTGTTCGACGTTGTTTGTCTTTGTTTTTACATCTGAATCGGGTGTTGGTTGTTTGGTTAGTCTATTGTACAGTCAAGTTATTTTTATTTTGGTGACTCCTGTTAACTTTTGTATGCAACATAAAATAAGTTTTACATTTTTCCTTAGGTTAAAATGTTTTATATTTCTGTTAAGGGCTATATTGTCAACCAAAAAACTCATCAAAGATACCAGGGAATATGCTCTTTAAATCAAGTTATTATTGTAAGTAGTAGTATACTCTTCAATATGATAGACTCGCACATTCAGGTTGCGCTTATTTAATTATTATTTTGGATAGTGTTGACCCAGATTGTATAATATTTCAGTTTTACAGTCTTATTAATTTCCCCCATCAGAACATTGTGCTGTTCTTTATTCTTTGCTGTATGATAGCGCTTATTTAGCTATAAAACCAGATTTAACCCACCATTTTCTTGGAAAATGTCTGTACCAAGTCAGGGAATACGGCAGTTGTTTTTCATTTGTTCCATTGATTGATAGCGTTTGATTTTGTCAGTTTTTATGGACTTCACCTTTTTGAATTTGCATTGGAGTTCGGTACTTTTTTTTATACTTTTTTATCTTTTCAGAAGGAGTCATTTGTTGGTTGTTTGTGGGTTCTGTTGTCTTGTCCAATATTTTTTTTGTTTTTTCCTCTAGTCCATTTATGTATTTTTCCCCAGCTGTATATTTAAGGTACTTATCTTTCATTGAAAGATGTTACTAGTGGAGCAGATATTGTTAACACTTTCAGAACACCTAATCTTTTTGTAAGGTTCGTCATATCAATCTTTAGCTTCTTTTGTAGTTTTTTGTTGACATCTGTTTATCATTTTTGTCGTTTGTGGTTGTCAAGGTGTTTTTCTTTGATTTTTTTATTGCTTGGTGTCTTTTTACTCTTTATATGGTGTGATAATTTGTTAAACTATACAAACAGGAAAATGTTTATGTCACCAAAACGTCTACACTGCTTTACAATCAACTACTAGTTATGATTTCAAACCATTAAAGCTAAAACATGCATTAGATATACTCCTGATGACGTTATCTCGATGGGGGATAGATATTCCCATCAGGTGTTATCCCGATCGGTAATATCTTATTTACATCAAGATATTATGGTCAATATAAAATGATAGCTTTTTATAATTTAGAAAGAAATGTATCAGGAGTTTGATACAGCATGATACATGAAGGAATTCATTTACATTTATTGACCGCCTCGGTGCTGTAACTGCGTCGTTGGTTTGATCCCCGTCAGGTCAACATTAAGACTTGAACATTAGTATTTGCTGCTTCTCCGCCTAGTATCGGGCCTTAAAACTGGGTGGCTCGAAGTCAATATACATGTTATATGTTATAATTTGATGGAATATGTCCTCCTGTAGACCATTTGTTACCTAGTGAATAGTCCAGCGTGTCGGTGTATTACAAACCAAGGTATGTATTCAGATCAAATTAATATGTTCCCGTCCTGCTATACATGTATTTGTTTTCCACTGGACGTTAAACAAGATATAATCATCATCATCCTCATCATTAATGGCACCATGTTACAAGTAAATATGGACGACACTAATTTTCTGTTGGCCTTATCCAAAGCAAACTGTTAGATAATAGCCATTTAAAAATTGCTACTGTAATACCAAACAATTAAAATGTGATGTGTGAACGTTGTAAAAATAGAAAACAGTCCAATACTATCAGGTTTATTCTTTTTAACAACAGATAGAATAAAATTAGACAGAAAAAGGAAAAATAGATATTTTATTTACATTTAAATCGCATTGATACAAAGCAAGAAATTGGCATGGACGAATATAACTTAATTTCTATCTTTTTAATTTTATTTGGGTAAGAATAAATTGTTGAACTTCATTTAGTATATGTCGTAAAACACTAATCATACATCTTTATATTTAAAAGTTTAACATTTATCACTTTGGATAAGTGCTTATTGATGAAATTTGCGCGGCACAGATATTTGAAACGATCAATTCTCTAATAATTATAATACTCAATATTGATCGTCAACTTTAAAGTAAGTACTATTATTATAGCATTTGTGTAGAAATAGTATTTGTGTAGAAAGGTATCTTCAAAATTATTTATTTTATGCATAGCCCTTTCCAGAAAGACATTTGCGAAGGCTCTAAAACTATCATCTGATTCGAGGTCTCCCCCTGTTAGGCTAGTAGTATTGGATTGCTGCTACAAAAAAAAATAACTTGGAGCAGTGTAAGTATACTACTAATTACCTACAAATACAATTGTTTTCTGCTTAATAAACTAGTTTTGTTAGACTTCTGTTAAAAGTGAAAAGACCTTTATGTAGTAATAATGAAAATTACATAAGCCGTAAGCAATCATCATGGTGCTTTACTGAAGAGGACAGAGAAATCTGGTTCTCATCATCGTTCACTGAAGTCAACACATACTACTTTTTATGAAATGATCAACTATAGTTTTGTTTTCGGAAAATGATTTGTAATTTTGAGGTGTCTATCTAGATTAAACTTTTGAAAGACGCACTATCATCTCTTAAATGTTTCTATTTTCTTCATTCCTACCCAGTTTTATGACATCTGACAAATTATTTCATTGGTTTAATATTTTCATTGATTAACTTTTATGTAAACTATCATACACAATTGAATGAAAATCTTTATTTGATCTGTCTTCAGCCAATAACAGCAACATTTATCATACAAAAGAGAGAAAACAGCGACTTTCTAAAAATAAAAATTATATGTGTGTATGTGTGTAAGTTAAAGAAATAAAAAAAAAACCATTTCGTTTCATTAAGAAAATATGTAATTTGTATTTTAAGGAAAATAAAAAAAAAATTCTAATAAAAAATCATATATCTCTTCGGTATGTTTATGACAAACAAACGGTAAATTTGACTGACTGTTCGAACCATGGACCTTAAAAATCATAGTAGCTAAATAAATAGAAAGAGATCTTTGTCTCTCAGTCACATCACTCTCACTTCCGGACATTTCCTTTACATAAATCAGAACGAAATACATATACTGATATCAGATATAAGAAATAACATTTTAAATTAGGACAAAATAGCAAACAATAGACGTAAACAATTTCTCTAGAATAAATAATTTATATTTCAAGATATTTAAACTGTAGAAACATTTTTGAAAATACGAAAAATGAAAACTTCAATGGAACATAAAAGTCAAAATGTTTTGTTAAGCAATCAAGTTGCTTAACAACAACTTTAAACATTAGGATATTCAGATATTTCTGTGTATTGTGCATTTACACATGCGCACTGACATGTATCAGGTGCAAGGATTCACACCATGTCGACGTCATTTGCCATTGCTAGATCCCGTAATCTTTGACGGTAAATCTGAAAGAAAAGAAGTTACATTAAAAAAAACATTGTTTTTACCACAATTGTTAGGACATATATAAAGTTAAACAGGGATTGCTTAGTGACAATTGTTAGGTACGCTTTCTTACAAAAGAATATGATATAAATCAAATTCAACAACAGAAAAATACATTAAAACAAATCAAACAAATAAAACTATAACGACAGCACTTCTTTAATACAGTTTAATCAGGTAGGATCAACGTTCCGTTGGATCAATGCTTTGTAACAGCAGCTGAATCAATAAGTACCCATAGGAGACAACAACTGTTTACCAGTATTACAACGATAGTAATTATTTGAATTTATATGCAAAGGATACAAAAAGGTCTATAATTTATAATAAACTCACACATACATATATATAAACCAGTATTAAACTTTACACCAGACGGGCGTTTCGTCTACATCAAGACTCACCAGTGACGCGCGAATAAAAAAAAGTTAAAATGAATAAATAAAGTACGAAGTTGAAGAGCCAAAGTTTCCTAATGGTGAAACGTTACCACAGTTAAGTATAAATATAAAGTGTCAGCACTAAAATACTTGTAGTATACCAACACGAAATGAACGCACTTTTCAATTTATCAATATACAGGATGTTTCCGTCCTGACGCTGACTCCCACCTGCAACAATAAATCGAAAGGCCGATCGATTTATGCCAAATACATATTTTGAATAGTTATTTAAAAAAAAAAATAGATCAATTGTCATGGCTGCCTATGTTATTATACACTTCTTTCAGATATATTATGGTCAGTACCTTTATCTTTGTTGATTTTTTTAAATGACATTCAGTTGAAATCAATAAGAGTTTATAATATTTCTCAATATTAAGTAAGGAAAAAAAGTGTCAACCTACAGCAGAAAATCCTATCATTTCGTTTTTGTACTGCTGACTCTTACGTTAAATTACTGTAATAGATTGTTGAAATGTGAAAGAAAAGTATCTATGAGGGTACAAATTGCATTACTCGGCAATAGTAAGAAGCATCAATCAAGAGGTAATTTGGCTTTACTGACGTTGATAATAGGAATAAAAGACCTGAACTAAAAAACGTGGTCAAATTCATTCCGGTGAATGAAGGGAAAAAATGAAGGCTAGATATTTGAGCCTAAGTACAAAGAAAGATAAGACCATAAATCTGTAAGATTAGATACACACACACGAGCGAAGGCCAAACAATTTACATTATTGTTCTTGTATTCATTAGAACACAAGCGTATACATTAAAGCCAAGGTTACAGAATAGTTCTACCTTCAACTTAAGCATTAATTCATTGAGCGTTTATTGTACCTTTTTATGGCGAGCAAAGAAGTTTCTATGTTAGTAAAATCTTTAAATAGGAAAGAGTTAACATTATATCCGAAAATAAAAATGAAGGCACATATTCTTTGTTCTTTTTCATTCTATTTGTCTTCCTTTGAAAAGTGCTCATGTCAGTTATGATGTTCCATAATTCTATTTGAATGCTGAATGTCTCTTAATAGTACATGTGTATATTTCAAATACACGTGAAAAATTACGAAGATAATGTGACCATGAGAACATGTACTTAGTATTTGGAATTCAAATGAACCAAAGTTGACTTTTTAATTCAATATTTCACAGTTCAACTGTTCATTTAATCTATATTAATCTCTTATATATATATATATGTTTTTGCACAAACGTCATCCATAAAAATCAAATATCAAAATATGTCAAATAACATTTACTTGAATGTCTATTCGAAAATTAGGTAATTACAAACTATGCCAAGCTATATCTTAAAAAAAGATATCTTTATTAAGTTATAAAGTACACTATAAACACTAACGACAAACATTTCTATTTATTCTCAGTCTTTGAGATCGTTTAATATCAGACAATAATTTTGTCCTTTTATTCATTTCTGTTATTGAACATTCCTTCGAAACCCTTTCGCGATAAATCATCAAGTATTAACGAAAATTAATTGTCCCCATGTCATTATGAAATTGAATAGGAAATCAAATTAGCATTCAAATTGTAGCACTAATTCTGTATAGATGTCCCTTGATAGCTATTGATGTCGTGCATAGTTATAGACTGAAATATAGTGATAGATAAAAGAAAGCAAGACACTGCGTTGCCCCAGCACTTTACATTAGTTATATCTATTTGAAATTGTTTTTGATAAATATTTCTTTTATCGTGATATGAACTTTTGTCTCTTAAACTATTTCCTTTATCCTTTCTGCAAATTATTGTACACGTATTCAGTAATTTTGTTTACTTAAAAATTATATGGTGAATCGATAATGTAAAAAAAGCTGTTAATATTGATCGAAATCATAGAATGGTATTATTTGATTTGATGCCGGATATAATATAATGAAACAACATTAGATTAAAATCACAATATTTGTCAAATAATATTAATATATCTTATCATATAGCCAGATAGAGGTCGTGCGATATTGTTAATATTGGACTGAATGGTGCGTCACGTGTAATATGGCAACTATTATCAACACTACAAAATTAATTACTATCAAATGTTAACTATATTTATACTGCACAACTTAAGTGAATAACTCAAACCAAATGAGAACACTCTTTCAAGTATGTCTGTTTTAGTTCCCCACTCAAATTTGTCAAAATAACGTAACTATAAACAACTGTCATACCAGTAGAAGGTTTATCTATCTATGAAACAAGGTTAAACCCACTATTGTTTTCGGAAAATGCCTGTAACAAGTCCGGAATATGACAGTTGCTTTCAATTCGTTCCGTTGGTTGGAATAGTCTAATGTTTGACTTTATCAGGTTTTATGGACTTCCTCTTTTTGAATTTACCTTGGCGTTTGGTACTTTTGTCGTTATATTTTTCAGAATCATAACCATGAATCTACATGCAATACTAGAAATAATACAATATCATAACCTCGAAATTGATAAATATTGAACAATGGTAAAAACCAAAGACAAGCTTATGAATATTTTAATTTCGCAATTGTACTCCTTCAACTACTAAATGCAATGAGGTAATATTCAGAAAACATTAACCACAAATCAGAAGCTTCTGTGCGAATAAAACAGATATGTAGGCAAATTTTTTTACGTTGTTATCTTATCATGTAAAACTGTTATTCCACAATCAAAGCGTAATCTTACAAATCATCATATATTTACACGTATCTGTAAAAGTTAATATATATGTCAAACAATTTCCAATTAATAGTTTTGGTAATAGAAAAATTGTGATAATGCTTAAAGTAATAACAAAACAAGAATGAAAAAGCTGCATTTTTATCAAACCTTGAAGCTTAAAAAGAAAAGTATGATAAACTTAGAAGACAGTACTTAACCGATGTTCAAATCCAGTAAATCGATTAAGAAGAGGCAATCAGGATAACAAATAAAGACTGTAAAAGTCTTTGTAATACTATTAACCATAATACTTGAATAAAAAGCTAAATGTGTTATAGATGAATTATTGGCATTGTGACTTTATGAATAATAGTATGTTCGGTCAATTTATTTTAGATATAGGTGTATTAAAACATTTTACATATACATTATATATATATATAAATATAAACAAGTCTAAATTGAATACAACGTTCAAACATATGATTGCGTTGGATAAAAACCGCAATTTTTATACATGTGCATGCAAAACAAATTTCTTGTTAGAGGGGTCTAAATACAGCACAAACAACATTTTCCAAAAGACCACAAAAGTGAAAAAGTATATTTTAACAAAACGCATTTGACTAACAGGTCGAACAACAAATGTTCTTAAACCCTGCTGACTGCCATTGGCGATTGCCAAATAAACGGATCACCGATGTAATAAATGGATCTTAATTATAAATTTAACACTAAACAGAAAACAATAAACTTGCGGAAAAGATGGTATACCGCAAACAAAAGGTGCAAAGGTTTTTGTACACCATATCCGGATTTCGACAATTAATGTCTCTTCAGTGATGTTAGGAATCGAAACGGTTTTTGGAAAGCCATACAATTTACCTCAATTTAGGATAGACTCTTGAATTTTGAGGAGTCAAAATAGGATGAACGGATCATATAAAACCCGAAGGCAAATATAATACAAGCCCAAACGAAAAAATATAAACAAGTCTAAATTGAAAACAACGTTCAAACCTATGATTGCGTTGGATAAAAACCGCAATTTTTATACGTGTGCATGCAAAACAAATTTCTTGTTAGAGGGGTCTAAATACAGCACAAACAACATTTTCCAAAAGACCACAAAAGTGAAAAAGTATATTTTAACAAAACGCATTTGACTAACAGGTCGAAATATATATATATATACTATAGTATATACCTAAATAAATGTACCGTGGGCTGGATGCCTTCCTGTTTTGTACAATAAACTTGGTGTCTTGTAGGGTCTTTTACAGCGTGCTATGCGGATTTGTTCATTGTTGAACGGTGACCTATAGTTGCTAACCTTCTACGTCATTTGGTCTCTGGTGTAAAGTAGTATCATTGGCAGTTATGCCACATCTACTTATTTTTATATTGATTTTTTTTTTATTTGATTTTATATATATTTTTGTTTTTGTTTATCATAACTCTGATCAATATTACTTTTTTTGATATAAGGAGAGACCTTTATATTAGAATGTTAACCTCAATGGAAACTTCTTTCTTTAGAGGTGGTAAATATCTTTCATTCAAAAACAGTGCTTCCATTTCCAGCTTTTAAAATCGGACGTTTCTCAATCAAATGTTGAGTTGGTTTGAATGTTAAATCTTATAGAATCATAAGATTATCTTATAAAACATGTTTGTCCTTTCCTGAAATTAACGGTTGCTTTTCAATTGAGGTTTGGTACTCTGCAAACGTTTAGCTTGAATATAAAATATTTTTGTAGCTTTTCCATTGAATTTGGTTGTGTTCTTTTATACTCATGGTTTACCTATTCGGAAATGACTGACTCTGCCAAAAAATAATTCTTCATTAAAATTTGCAG